TGTGCCTCCCACAACGGCCTCATCCCCCAGTGCCCGTTCTCCTCACCTCTGAGGCTGAAGTTATCCGTTCACGCGCTTCAGAGTACGTACACCCAGGTTAGTGATACAACAGGGCCAAAACGAACCACCCTGGATCCGAGGTGGATCTTGGGAATGGCAGCCCTTCAATTTGCCTGTTCAGCGACCAGCAACCCTGGCAAGCTCGAGCAGCTCTGCCCTGTTCTCAGGAAGGACCTGCCCACCCAGAGCTCGGCTGTACTTGCCAGGTCCACCTCGACTGCCGTACAGCCGCCGGGCACCGCATCCCCGTGAGAATGACCGGCTGAGGGACGCCAAGCACACAGCTCTCAGAAGACAGCAGTAGCCTCAGAGCATAAAACAAGCCCTTTTTATGACAGAAAAAATTGTTAAGGACCAAATGCAGAGAAGCCAGCAGGACTCTGGGTTTCCAGCACGATTCTTAGAAAGCTGCTAACCATGGCAAGGCTCCTACAGCTACTCCTTGCCCTCAGTCATTTCCCACTTTGCCATCTGGGTGACCCAATAATCTTTCCTAGTCTTAAACAGGGAAGACAACATTATTATTTTTTTAAATTCTGTAGAGAAGGGAGTAGGACTGAACTGCATGCACCAGTTTGCCATAAATGTTAGCAGTAGATGGGAATGAAGACAACTTACTCTGCAGCTGTCAACCCAATATTAACTCAGTATTCAAAAAGGATTTTGAAATGAAAGCTCTAAGGGATCCATAAGAAGGTGAGTGGATCCTACCTCTTCAAAAAGAGCCATGTGAGCTGAAGAGCTTTGTTTGGGCTCATGCTAATTAGCAAATCTGCTCCAAAGATATCAGAAATTATATTTATTTCTAAACAAACTCTCTGAAAACAAAGGAGGATGCAAAGTAGGAATCAAAAGGAGACTCCAGGTCCCTACTGCCCCTTCTCCTACACCCCCTGGGACAGCAAGTCTTCCATGCAACAGCTCACACAGGGCAGCAGGAACCAGACACAAGTACTATCAACATCTCATAGCACATCGCACAAACAGAACGGCTGGATCAAGCACCAGCTACTCCACTGAGCGGAAGCAGGACAAGCATCTAATTTAGGCCATTCGCAAGGGGAAACCAGCTTCGGGAGCAGTTTGTTATGTACCCCAGAGGGAGCAGTTGATTTCTTCTTCAACTTGGAACCAAAAGTTTGTTTGCTGCTCTCCCTAGGAAGACGACACAGGAAAGTTCTCCGCCATGTGCTGACCTCTGTAAGAATTCTGAAAAGAGCACACGTGTCATTAAATCCAAGACACTCTTTTGACACGGAGCCCTCCTGAGACCAGTGGCTGCTCCATTTGCTCCCTCTGGCTTTGCCCCAGGCTGCGCATAATTACCACTCAGCCAGCATAATGACATACCAGAGTGGGAGATGGAGGGGCATCACTGCGTGCCCCGAACAACCTCAGCACGAAGATGACTCCTGGTCCAGGCTAATCACTTCAGTCTGCATCACCCTTCCCTCTTCCAAGGCATCAGCCCAGGAGAACTGGGGAAGTGATGAGAAACCAAGACAAGTACCAGCAGCAGAGTGATAAGGCTGACAGATAAGGAGGGCAGGCAAGTCAGTTCAGGAATATCTATCACATCCACCTTCTCCAAGAGTAAATTAAAAAAAGAAAAAAAAAAAAAAGGGGGGGGGGGGGGCTGGAGAGAAAGGGAGCAGGCATGGTATACAGTGCTGGGTACAAGGGCTCCCTGGGGTGGCAAAAAGAGCTGTTGCAGTTGTAGGCTGTATTTTATCCAGGTGAACCTGGTTACAGCAACTCTTAGAGGGAGTGGGAAGGAACAAGCGGAGAGTCCTTGTACCTATACAGCTTCTAACCCCAAAAGACCAAGTCACCAGGCAAAGAGAAGAAGAACGCGGTCCTGAGATGCGTACGAGACCATCAATGAAGCATTTTAGGGAATCAGAAATACACAATTTATCGACAAGTTACAGAGAAACACTTTTTAACCAGTTTAGAAATAAAAAATAACAACTTGAAAGACAAATTGAAAAATTCTGCTTGGAAAAGGAGCACACAGCATGAGACCACAGGATTCAGCAGACTATAAAATAGGAAACGAGACTTACTCTTCTCCCCCTACAGCTACACAAAACTCTCCTACGTAGATTACAGACACGCTTGGCAATTGCCTTCCTCCTCCAGCCTCTCCTGTTATGGACAAGGCAGAGTTGGTAGCAGCCTGAATGCGGAGAGGAGATTAGATAAAGCATCTTGCAAAGCCAAGTGTGAAATATTAACAACAGGAGGCAATGGGTTGTGTTTTTATGCAAGATCACAAATTTGGTGCTTAGAGAGCCTGAGATGTTCTTGCACACTGGAATCTCAAAGTGCTTGTTGAATGTTTCATTTAAAAAGCTGTTGAAGCCTACTGGAAAATTTCTATCAGTTCTATTATTTGCTGTATCTTCTCTAGCTTCATTGTTTTTGTTCTTTTTCATCCCTGCAACACTAAGAAATTATGCATGAATAAAAAGGTTGTTCCTTCCATTCATCTGGCCAGTTTTAAAACAATTCATACTGGTAAAGTGGGCGCTCTGCAAGCCTGTATTTTCACATGAAATTACCACAATTGTGCACATTGCATCCGAATTGCCGGATGCATTTGTACACATAATTACCCAATTTGCACACAGAACTGCAATAACCGGGCAGGCAAAATGGACATGCAGCTGTTCAGCTGAATGGGGCACCGCGCCTGAACTGCATCTGGCATTGGGCAGGTTTGGTTTTAGTAGATGAAACAGGTCACAGATATTCCTGGACACAAAAGAGCTCCTTTTTACCCAGCACACGCAGCACAGACAGCAGCGTGGCTGGCTGCCCCTACCCTACCTCAAACTTGCCTTTGGAGGAAACTGCCTCCAATTCAGCTTCTACAATAGCTGCAGACCTTGTTTATCCTGCTGTCCTAGTTGCCCATTAATGCCAACTGTGACGGTAGCTGTGTGATAAGGACATCTATTCACCACTGGACACCAGGCTCCAGGAATAATGATCACTGCCACTTTGGAGCGTAACTGACACCTGCTGTCACAATCTTGCACGAAAAAAAATTCATGCTCCGAATATCCAACAAGCAGTCAAGGAGAAACATAAGGAGACGGAGCTGAAGAGAAGATGCAAGGGCTTCTTCCTTCTTCGCAAGGGCCTCGGTAGTACAGGAGCAGCAAAGATGGGGGGCAGGGAGAGAAAGCACTCACTCAAGAAGCTGTTACCTGTACTGTTGTTTTACTCAGGTGGCAGCTGAGGCTCTGCAAACTGAACTTCATCTTTGGCAATTTCCTATCAACACCTCTCCTCATCTTTTTTTTTTTTTTTTTTTTGTCCCCAGGCTCAGATTCCTGAGCTGATGATTAGGGCAACAGCAGCAACAAACTGCTCCTGGGCCCTAGGAAATACCAAAGGAGAGGGGGCTGCCTGAAAGGTGGATGGGACCACAATCCCCACACACATGGTCACCAAGAAGTTTGTAGACATTTATCAGGGAGTAAGCTAAAAATCAAACCCAAGATGGCAGGACAGAGGAGTTTCCCATTTCAAGGCTACACGGTGAGCTACTGTCTGTCCTGAGAGACTACCAGAGTGAGAGTTGGGCAAGCCAGTACTGAAGGGCGATGACACGCAAGAGGTGTATTTTCAGCTAATAATCAAGCAGTCCCTCATCTGGAGGCACTGGATGGCCTTAGAGTGCCACTTTGTCCTTGTTGGGCTGCAAAACAGCCGCAATGCACCTGGCCAACATTAGCTGGAGATGTTACATTTATGATTTTATGGCTGATTTTTTCCCCCTACCCTCTATCAATTGAGTTCACTGTCTGAACGATCACATCTGTTTATGTTCCACAGACACCTGCATATCTTGAGATGACAGAAACTCCCTGAATGCTGTAATCAGTTATTTCTCAACAGAGGAATTGCCAATTTGGTAAATAAAGCTCATTATAAAAGAACATGGAAATGTATTACAGTTGCCTAACAGAGAAAATTGTCCAGTGCCGCCAAATAATCAGCCCTGGCATCACAGTCCCCCCCAATTTAGGGCAGCTGAAATAATGACATGCAAATTACTCATGCCAAGGCAACACTGGATAGGGGCAAAAGGAAAATGAGGAAGAGACAAAATAGGTACTTTTCTCTTCAGACCAACAGTAATTTAAAACCTAGTCAGGGATAGACCTTGGTGCTCCAAATTTCTGCATGCAGAGTCAGAAGTTTTGCGGCTCTGTAGAACCTGGCTATCCCAAGCAGATCCAAAAGCCGGCATGGCGGCAGCAGCAGCAAAAGCCCACCCAGTACTGCTACAAAGAGATCTGAGGGCACCAAGTGTCCTACTTTGGCTTGGGAAACTTTTCCTTCCTCCCCTGAGAACAGTGAGTATGCCCTGCACAGTGATAAACAGATGGAATTTTTGCAAGATCTGAGCCTAACAGAGACGAGCCATGGCTAAGCAAACATCGCTTCTGAGGAGGAAGAGGGTTGTGGCATCAGCTCTCCACAAGAAGGAAAGGCATTTTGTTGCTTTAATGAAGATGTAAAGCATTAAGTCACTGCCTAAAGGAAAAAGAGACGAAGCAGAATATAACACCAAAAACAATTCTCAGCCCCCCTCATCCATTTTCATAAACACTACATTAAACTCTGACATGACCTCCAAAAATCCATGTTCACATTCTTCAGAAACTGTCAGATACAGTCAGAGGGGACGAGAGCAGCAAATGCTGCCAGGGGAGAAGCTTTAGCCGGAGAGGGACCAACCTAGACCTGCTCCCCTGGTTTGCTGACAGGGCTTTTGCAAATCTGCTGCACCTACCTCTACGAGGATGAAGTGCCAGACACACACAGCTCCCGCCGTCCCTCAGCTCCGCAAGGAGAGGGCTCAAAACAGAGCACGTGGCTGAAAGCGATGGTGGTTCATGGCAGACAAAGCAGGAACTGCACACAAGAGCCGATGCAAAGAAAGATAACTTGGGTCTGCATTCAGAGGCAAAGGTTTTTTCAGTATGATTCACCAACGCCAGTTCCCTTCAGCCAGGGCTTTGCACGCAGATTCCAAGTACTTTCAAATAAGCCAAAGTCATTCAGCCCGCGACCAAAATGAACAAGTTTTGCGATTTATAAGCTGTGACTTAAAATATTTCTATTCCTCACACTTGTTTGGAGTTTTTGTTGGCATGGGTAGTAGGCAGAAAACAGCAATTTACAAACTCATGGGACTGAAAGTATCTCACAGCACACAGTGACCATTAAACACTTTATTGTTTAGGAGGGAACCTTGGAAGGGAAGAAACGCGCCTGCTAGTGTAACCGGTGGGAGCATGCTAGGAACAGTTAATCCTAACAAGCTAGTCAGGGTTACTTCCAAATACTTCGGACCCCTTTCTCCAGAGCAAACAGACAAAGACAACAGCTCTTGAAACTCAGCTGTGGATTGGTGAAACCAAAGCTAGGACAGGGTGAACCAGACTTGTGTTGAGCAAGCCTCCAAACTACAAGCTGTGCTGGAAACACCTGGGGTCAATGTGATTCTTTACATTGTAATACAATAAAAAAGGAAACGATAACGTCCCCCTCCCCGGGACCCTCCTCCCAACTCCAGGAACATCCAACCGAGACCGATACATGCAGGCAATTAGAAGAGGAATCATGTTGTTGTCTTGGACCGTGAAGGGCAGAAGGCACCGGTTTTGGTCAGTGTCTATCCAGAAGGATGCTGGGGCTTTCAAGGGCGTCTGTGGTCCTCATCCTCTGCTCTTTGGCGGCTGATGTTTATCCAGAATTAACTAGCAGCTCCTGGAGGAAAAAGGAGACAAAGGAAAAGGCAGAAAGTTAGTTAGCAGCTGTTGACACTGGACTGTTTCCTTCAGAATTGAAGGAGTAATGTTGTCAGGGTGAAAATCCCACAGAAGAATCATCAGGTTTTGCCTGTGTAAAACACAAGACGCCCAAGGAGACAGAGGACTGTAGAAGCAAGACAGCAGATCATATCAAAGATGAGACCAATTCTGTGAACAAGAATATATGGTCAGTCGCAAACGATTAGGGTTTATAAAGCCAATGACCTACAGCAGGAGAAAGGCCATGGTCTCCCGTATGCCTCAGAGCAGCTGGGTCACAGGAGTAAGTCTAGCTCCGTACTAAGTCCCAGCCTCAGCAGGACACGGGAGCTCCTTGATTAGCTGCCATCAAACATGCACACACCACTCGCTCATCCTGAAACAGAATCAACATAAGAGTGAGCACTAGGGAGAGGAGAGGAAGAAAGACAGGGACTCAGACTGCCCTAACTCCTGACATGTTTGACAGCCTTTATCCTACTGAGAGCCAAACCCTCCTAAAATTCAAAGCAAAATCATTCCCCCACAGCAACCTCCTGTTTTCTAGTTGCTACATCCTCAGATCCTGCAGGTATCTGCACATGAGCTGTGGACTTCTGAGGGGTAGAAAAAACAGGAGGCTTTTGACCTTCTTAGGATGGAGATTGCAGAGCCTGCTATGGTCTCTTCCTCTTTTTATCTTATCACTCCTATAAAGTCAAACAAACCAAACCAACAATGCCACTAGCAGTGGATGAGAACACACCTATGCACCAGCACCTCTCCCTCTGAGGACCTGGGGTATCACTGTTGGACCCTACTTCAAAACTGAGGTAATCAGCTCTCATGCGTCAGCAATGGCATCTTCATAGCACGGAACTGCTGGTGCAGCTACACGAAGAGCAGAATTGCATAGGGTGAGCCCATCAACATACTACTTTTTTCTCATGCTCTGGATAGGCATGGTTCCATTTTGCAGAGTAGACAGTGCTTACCCATTTTTAGAGGACCCTGCTAAAGCCAACTGCAGAAAGACAAGGGAACAGCTAGCTGCACGTTGTCTCACCACCCATTTTTACTAGGGCTGGATTTGAGCTCGGTTCTACTCTCTAAGCACTAGCCTTCCTCAAAAGAGAAGCTGTGCTTCCCTGAATGGGAATCAGAAAGGAGAACACCACAACATAATGACGCCAGCACACTTGGCAATACCTGTCAGAAGGTGAGGATGTCATTTGAGCTACTTCTGCACAGCAGGCTGATATTCACTGCCTAACACCTGCAAGGTCAGCGTATTCAGTCCACATTGACCATGCATCTCCAAAGACAGACCTATTTCTAACAACAATGAACTGGAAAAGCTTCAAAGGACTCAAGAATAAAGAGAAAATAGTTTGCTGAATTATTTAGACAAAGCTTATCCAGAAATCTGACAAATGAACCATCAATATTACTCGACTGACTAATTTCCCAGGTAATTTTTCTCATCATTAGTGACTTAAAAGTTTTTCACAGAGCAATACATTTTAAAAACTCCAATAGCACTCACACAAATTGTAACGAGCAAAGCAGCAACAATTCACAATCAATTTTGCAATAAAGTAATTTGCTGTATTCATACTGTAACACTTCAGTGAAGTGTCAAGGAATGCTACATTTTGTTAAAAAGCCACTGATGTGGCCACTCTGTGGTTAACCCTTATGGAAGACAGTAAAACCTTTTTCTTTAAAGTAATTTTAAAGAATATCGTAGTTACACAATTTCACGTTCAAAATCATAACTACATTATTTTTACTCATTTCAGGAGAAAATGCAAACAGACAGCACTTAACCTCAATCAATTCTTTCCAGCCTAACCTACCCACATACCGGGGACGCATCGAGCTGGAGGCTCACAAACATTCCTTGCGCAAAAACATCAAGTTCCATCTCACTCTGGATGACTAAACTTCCTCAAAATCTCTCGCACAGTGAGCACTGGACCCAGAGCTGATGGGCTGCCAGGCAGGCCAGACACCGATTCCCTGCCGCGCAGCTCTCCCCGAGGGACGCTTCTGTGAACAAAGGATGCAGGTAACGAAACTGTCCATCAGCCCAGGCTGCTCCCAGCAGCGGCCTGATACAATTACATCTGAGACCAGCCTGTGCTGGATGGAGCAACTAATTAATGTCCCTTCCCTCACCAGGGGCATGGAGTGCTCATGAAGGTTATGGGCTTGGCATTTTGGGGGAACTGAAGCGCTCCCAGCACACAACAGCCTGCGCTGAGGGATGACTTCCCCAGCTGTTTCAGACTTTCCTGCTCAGATGCCAATCCAGATCTCACAGCACATGCCATGCCAGTGTAGACCACTACCATCCTGAACCCTCCAGTACTGCTAAGGTTCAATTTACAAAGAAAGCGAAACCAGAGCACAGTCTCTGGCTGGCCATGAACCCGTGCTCCTCTGGATCTCCTGCAGAACATGTCACGTGGTGCAGGCACGATGAATGGCTAACGATGCTAGAGGACAGAGCCAGGTACCACACAGCGTCACACAGCCATGGCATGCTGCACAGTGGAAGATCTGTAGGCCTCGTGGTCTGTTAGCCCATCATAGAAGTCTGTGCTTGTTCGAATACGCACATAATTGTTTTCACTGTTCCTAGGCCATCAGTTTATAAACCTGTGGCTAACTACTAAAAGCACAGTTGCATCAATTTCATGCCTCACATGCTGTGTAATAGCATGGAAGGATGCCATATCTCTAAGACTAAACCCTCTCTTTGCTAAGCTAACCGTTTACAGCAGCGTTTTAATTCCACCTAGCATTGCTACCATGCCGATACAGATTTGGCACGCCTTCATTTCCTCCCAACCTGGAATCCTCCCTGCAAGATGCTACCAGGTTGCTGCAACACTTACCTTGAGCAGAAGGAGCCAGGGAAGGGAAGGAAAAGCCTTACCTCTCCTACATGCCCTTACCATTACATATGCACCAGACAAGTTGCATATGCAACAAGTCCAGGCAGCTTGCAATCACATGCTGTTCCCACACAACAGGATACTCCCAATTAATTGAGTTGAGACTCAGCCTGAAGAAGTTCAGTGCCTCATCACAAAATAACTGCTCCACAGTTGGCATTAGTTGGTCTCTGCTGCAGTCGTAGCAGAATAACAACTCAGGAAACAAGCAGCCTTGGAGGGCACTGCTCGCTCAACTCTAATGAGAAGGGACAGTGTCCTTCTTGCACAGAGGGTAGATTATTTTTAATGCCACTGCCAATGCAATGTCAGGTAGATACCAGGTTGCAGCGTCAACGAGCTCCAGCGCAGCGCCTCTACATATGAATGCTGGGTCCATACAAAGGGGTCCATACAAAGGCAGTTCGGGAAGGGCAATCTGTTCAGTCCCGACAGCAAATCCAGCTGGAGGGCACACAGTGCTCTCCTCCATGCCTCTCCTGGCAAGCAGGACCCTGAGCCACTAACCCATGCTCTTCCACCACCGTGAGACCCTGCTTGGGAACTAACAGCAGTAACAAAATTGGCTGGCTGCTCAGCTGACATGGCCACTGGGCCATGACTCTGTCGCACCTGTGGGGGAGCCAGTAGCTTTCCAGTTCTGGTTCCAGTTGAGTGAGGAGAAAGGGTTGAGCTCTGCAAGTAGATCTGCTCCACGCATCTTATCCCTGCTGAGATGGGAGTCCAGTCAACACCCAACACGGTCATTCTCCCGCAACAGCGAGCCGAGGCCTCTGTACCAGCACCAGGGCAAGCAAGTCTTGGCAAGATTTTCTAAGGCACCACTCTCTTGTCTTCCTCCTGTTCCTTCTTTGTCAGCCTGCATCCCAGCGTAGGAGTTGGGGCTGCCTGCCGAGTCCGCAGCATCCTCTCCGCCTCCCGCAGTTGCTGGCTAGCTCTGCGCCTCGGCTGTCGGCCTCACTGGAGACTCACAGCCAGCGGAGGAATCTCCCTCCTTGAAAGCCCAGACCCTGAAGAACTTCCTCCCTCAGTGTTTGCCAGAGACGCTGTTTGCCAAGCCTCAGCTGTGCTAAGACACATTTATTTAACCAGCCTTCAGTCTCACGGGGTAAACCCTACAAGTTTCCTCCCAGTGAGTGCCTTACCTTTGTTGTAATGTTCCAATGTTCCTTTAAGCAGTCACACCATGACGCTCGCACATATGGGCACTGTGTAGCTATGAAGAAATCAGAAAGCAGATCCCCATGATAAATGACTTGGTGCATTTGGAGTGTCAGTGACAAAGCAGAAATTAATCTCCATAGTTCCAGGTTCCCTGCCATGTGCAGGCAGCTCTCTCAAAACCAGAATACCTGTTGGCACACAGCAGACTTCAGTAACGTGACCGCACAACTTTTTCATCTCAGTCTGGAAAGAGGCACTAACGAAATCCTGACCTGTCCTAAGACGGGTGTTCAAGGCCTTTCCACTGGATAAGGCATTTGTTGTGGGGCTATTAGCACCCCAAAGTGCTGCAAGGGACATTTGAGTCACTTTGGTTTGATGTATGCTGTAGGTATTTTTTGGTTATGTGCAATTTGTTCTGTTACATTCAGGGTATTGGCTATTTTGTGGAGCAGCTGTGCTGACTAATGGATCACAGCACTTCTGTGCCATATAGTTATTGCACAGAAAAGCCTCTCTGTCTCTCTCATCCTTCAGGAGTCCAACAGTTGCTGTCCTTGGGTTTGGAATAAGAAGGGGCAGGAGTATGCCTGGCAGCAACAAAAAACATTAATTCAAAAAGCTATGAAGAGAGTTTTGTTTTCCCTCTTCTCTGTACTGGTGTTAATAGCTTTGCAAAGCAGGGAAGTTCACCCAGTGACTTCTTGGCTACTTCCCCAGATGGGGTCTTCAAAGCTGGCCTGACAGCAGAAAAGACGCCTTTCAAAAGACTCACCAGACACATTGTCAGAACACCCCAGAAAGTGCTTTCACGTGGAAGTCCCCTGCTCTACATACCCCACCAAGACAG